GAATTATTGATGCATTGTTATAGATTTAATTTTTTCATATGCTTAAAAAGAACATGTATTCTATCTTATATGTATTTCTAGATATCAGAACTAGCTCAAGCTTATGCCTCATGAATTGTTTTATTTATTTATTGGTTTGCTTGTTTATTTCTATTATGTTAGTTAATAAGATCTTTTGTCTGTTGAATTTATTTCTCTTTTTTTCTGTGAGAATTTTAGGTGTTATCTTAGACATATCAATACTATATTTTTAAGTTCATGTATATTCTTGATTGTTGTGTTTTCTCAGTGGTAGTATATAACGTCTCTCATTATCCCGTTTAATGTTTCCATCTTTTAATTTTATTTTGTCCCAATATTGAAATTGTGATAACTATTTCCCCATTGACCTCTAAGAAGTTATATTCATTTAGACTTCACTCGACTTTGTGAGACTCCTTGTTTCTCTACACTCTCGAATGTGACAAATTTGAAGGCCTGTGGATCTCAGCTTTCTGTCTTTATGGGTAGCTTGCGAAACTGGGCCTGATACATGATCTGGCACTGTTAATCCTAGTTTTACTCACTTCAAATCATATTCCAATCACAGTCACCTTAATTGGGTCACTCTAAACAGTGTCCTGACTGCATTAAAGGACAGTGCTTAAAAAACATGACTTAATTATCTGTTAAATCACCTTTTATTCTCCCTCTTTGGGTTGTCCTGCTTCTCACAGAGATGTGCCTTTTCTTAGATCTGTCATGAGCAAAGTGTATACCGTGTCCTGCTGTAGTTACCTTGCCCAGTAATAGGCATGAAGAGGGGCTGCTGCAGCCTTCTGGTTATAGATCTAGAGACCATTCACCCAAAACATCAAGGAGGCCGAAGGCCAAGTATGTGCTCAGCTGACCCTTTCTCCTGCTGCTTTGTTGCTGGGTCTGTGTGTGTACCCTGGTGCCTGAATTCATAGCATGATGTGGGTGTGCTGAGATCCACTGTTCCCCAACACTGGCCCTGTCCTGAATGCCTCTTGAATTCTGCTACATGACTAGAAAACTGTCAGTGGAGTCTGCTGCTACCCTGAGGCCACTATGTGACATCTTTTCGGGAAGTTATATCACTCAGGGAACCAATCTCTCTTGCCCCCATGAGGTTCCTCTTAGCATTCATCTCAGCCTCTGACTGTCTTTCTCTCACCCCTACCTCCCACACACTCACTCTGTGCTTTCATAAATAGCTAGGCTTCTTGGACAGCTTCTACAGAAGCTTAAATGTAACATCCTTTGCATCTGTAGAGTATTTTATAGTCTTCAAAGCACTTCCATATACATATTATCACTTTGATCCTCACAGAAACCTTTCAGGTATGTAGGTTAGAGGTATTATCCTGATTTCCGCAATGACAAAGTCAAGACCGTGATGAGGTGACTTGCCCATCCCCAGGCACTTTGTTAATGTGGAATGGTATTAAAACCTTGGTTGATTTGGGTTGGTGACTTCCTTCATTTATCCATGCATTCTTTGTCCATTGTATTACACCCAAAGGACCCAGAACAAGGGCTGTAGAGCCAGAAAAACTCGAGTTTGAAAATCAGTACCATCCCTCACCAGCTCTGAGATCTTGGTTGCGTGCATAACCTCTCAAAATATTATTTTCTCACTTACAATACAAGAAAAAAAAAACCAGGACTTTTAATGATTTTACAAGGATTTCATAAGGCTTGTAAAATACCTGATAATGGGGCTAACAGGTGGTATGGTGCCTAAGGTGCCAGACTCCCACAAAGCCAACTGCAGTTTGAGTCCCAGACCTGGTGGCTTGAAAATCACATATTGTGTGTGTGTGTGTGCCCCAAATCCCAGGTGGAGAATGGAGGGATGTGATTTCTCACTTTCCCTCTCACCATCTTTGTCTTTCTCTGGCAAGTGCATAGACCCTATAGCAAAAACTTAAAAAAAAAAAAAGTGCAAACCAAACCTGGCAGTAATAGCGTTTGTTGCACAGTAAGTTAAACGATCATAGGTAAAAAGTGGTCAAAACCCAGCAATCTTATGTGGTTCAGCCTAATGGTAGAAATTCAGTATTGGCTACCATTTATTAGGTTTCTTCCCTATTGTATATGAGGTACTGTTAGATCTCAAGAACATAAATAGAAATGAGACAAGATAGTTATTTATTAATTTAAATTTCTTTTCTTGCCAAAGGGCATGTGCACTCGCCAGAGAGAGGAGAGAGAGGGAGAGAGAAAGAATGAACATTCACCAGGGAGGCATAGTTAGGTTGCAACCCTTTTCTTCCATTCCTCCTTCCTGCCAGGAGTTTGGGCACACATCCCCATGCGCCCAGCATTTTATTAAGCCTCTAAGACCAGGATACAAACCAGGTAGGATGCAGCTCCCTTAACTATTACACCACCGAGCCAGCCCAAGACAAGCTTCTTATCTGTCTGCATCTTCTGCCGGGAGGGTAGAGCCTGTGTCTGTTGCATTCTCAGCCTCCAAAGCAATATCTGCTAGGTAGTAGGTGTTTAGTAAGTGCTTACTGAACCAGAAAGGTCCCTGATGACAGGAAGATTGTCAGCTAGTTAAAAAAGGCATACACATAATCATATAATAATCTAGTTAGATAGACACATACTGGGTATAGTAAGAGCCTAAGGGAAGCAATGCTCCATTCTCCTGGGGAGGGGTGAAGCGTAGAGGAGAGGAGGGGATTCAAGCTCATAGAGCAGGCGTGTCAAGACTAACTGTGGTGTGTCTGAGGAAGGCAGCAAAACTACTTTGCTTATCTTAGGCTACATGCTTTCTCCCAACTAACCCCCTCTTAATGTTCAACATTGAGTTTGTATTCAAAGCAGCCTCTTTGTTTGTCTCACAGTCCCTCTGTTACCGGTATCTCTCATAATGTATTGCTTCGTAAAGTGCTTTGCTCTATCTGGAACATAAAAGAGATGCTCGGTAAAACCAGATTCGATTCTTTGAGTGTCACCACTAGCCATTGCATAACAAAGTATAATATATTGTGTGAGAAGAAATAGAGGAACGAATAGAAGAGATATTTTAAAGAGAGCAAATAAAACATCAAAGTGGGAGAGTTTAGAGTGCATTAAAGTTAATAAGCTGTCATGGCAGAATGGACCACTTTTAAATGTGAAGGAATTTAATTTAGTGACTTATAACTGTAGGATTAGAATCCTGTTGGAATGAAGTTAGCCTCTAGTTTTGCCAAATTTCTAAATCTTTCGGTTGTCCTTGAAAACCAGTGCTTAGAATTGAACAGATTTTTTTTTAATTTTATTTTTATTTGTCCACAGCTTTTTGAGGTACTAAACCCATCTGTCTTCCTCTGAATATTCAGTGCTGCTCAACTGTCTATATGGTATTGCCTCTCTTTAAGCTCTGGGAGGAGTTCAGATCTTGGGTTGCCTGTTAGATTGGGTACAGCCCATCAGCATGGGTTTCCAGGGTTTGTGTAGTCATTCCCTGTTTCCACTGAGACCAGACAGCTGTCAGGAGTAAACTGCTCAGGCATGAACCACTGAGCTACTCGTCTTCTTCTCAAGAGAGAGACAAGGCAATCGATATAGGTCTCCTTTTTGGCAGTATTGAAGGATGACTACAACAGCCAGAGTTCCAGAATATTTTCTGCCAAGATCTGGATTGGATTTTGTGCTTCCTCAGCCACAAAATGTCCCCAGAATCTCACTCCCAAATCATTAATGCCCTTTGCAGTCAGTCTCTCGAACCTGAACACTTCCTTGACCTGTCCTGATTCAACACTTTCATTATTATTTTTTTCTTTTTGCTAGCTAAATTCTCAGTGTTTAGGTCCCTAATATCTAACCTTTTTTTCAAATAGGCAGGAGACCATGGTTCAAGTGCTGACCCAGTGCCTTGAGAATCATACCAGGCATGTGTACAAGCATATCCAAAATCCCGAGAGAATGGAGGAGAAGGGATTGCGACATGGCCATTCCCCCTGGGGGTGATTTCTCACTTTCCTTCTCCCTGTCTCTCTGTCTCCCTCTGGCAAGCATACATGCCCTATGGCAAAAACCTAAAAAAAAAAAATAAAAAGGAAGTGCTGCCTTTGTATTGGTTGTTCTTGTGACTTAATAATAAGAGCCTGATACTAAAAAGGTTACCAAAGAATTTTCTGGCTGTCACGCTCTTCGAGGCAAACATGAGGAAAAGACGGCAAGAATGGGGCTTATGTATCTGTAGCTCCCTGTATCCAGCTTATCCAGGCCATGCTTTGTTGCTGGCCTCTGTTAAGACCATTGTGCTGCTCGCTTTGCCTAGTCCCTGCTGTCCCCTTGGCCAAAAGCAGCTCAAGGATGGGTTGTAACAGAGTGCCAGGGGTAAGGCAGCAGCAGCAAGATCCCCTACTTCTGAAGACTCCTGCTTGTGAGCTACCTGGTTCCTCTTTTCCTTGTTTGCCTCTGTTTGTTAGCTGCGTGGTCATAGCAATAGCCATCTTTTATTGTCTTGCTAAAGGGTTTTTTATTTATTTTTATTTATTTATTTTTTTAGGTTTTAGGGGGCTTGTACTCGCTGGAGATAGTCAAAGAGAGAAAGGGAAAGTAAGAAATCACTCCCCTGGGGGTGGGAGGTGATGGCCACATCACAATCCCTTCTCCTCCATTCTCCTTCTGGGATTTTGGGCCTACACACAAATGCCTGGTGTGATTTTCAAGCTACCAGGTCTGGGATTTTGTGCCTGGCATGGTTTTTTAAGCCACTGGGCTCAAATTGTGGTTGGCCATGTGACAGTCCAGTGTCCCAACCACCACACCACCTGCTGGCCCTGCTAAAGGATTTTTGAAGTTTTTGAAAGTTTCTTTTTCTTTCATTCTGCTGAGCAAACATTAAAGAAAGTGACTAGGCTAGAAGATAGAAGTGGGCCTGATAACCAGTGAGAGGAGATGTGGGCCTTGACTTGCAGTATCCAGCCTCTTCAAAGACTGGTTATCTGTAGCATGGGTCATATTTTAACCATTCTCCCTCTTTGTGTCCTCAGGGTGTCGCCGAGTTGAAGATGAAGCCCAGAACAGAGTGCTGTTCTCCCAAATTCTGGTTGGTGTTGGCTGTCCTGGCCGTGTCAGGCAGCAGAGCTCGTTCTCAGAAGAGCCCCCCCAGCATCGGCATCGCCGTCATCCTCGTGGGCACTTCAGACGAGGTGGCCATCAAGGATGCCCACGAGAAAGATGACTTCCACCATCTCTCTGTGATTCCCCGTGTGGAGCTGGTAGCCATGAATGAGACCGACCCAAAGAGCATTATCACCCGCATCTGTGATCTCATGTCTGACCGGAAGATCCAAGGGGTGGTGTTCGCTGATGACACAGACCAGGAAGCCATTGCCCAAATTCTCGATTTCATTTCAGCCCAGACTCTCACCCCTATCCTGGGCATCCACGGGGGCTCCTCCATGATCATGGCAGATAAGGTAAAAGGGGGTTGCATTGAGAAGAACCTGGCGGGTGGGGGTTGTATTGAGGACTGAAAAATGCATTCGTTATAATGCGAAACATGCTTAATATGGATGGAAGGGAATCAGAGTGCACTGAGTGAGTGAATAGGAATTAGTCTAATCTTTGGAAATGAGCCCACAGGGGATATGCTATACTCAGGGAGCTCCAATAGTTTTGAACAGGTTTAAGTGTTTGTTTGTCAATGGACTCACTGAAATGCCTAAGAGATGTTGAAGCTTGTGTTTCTGCAATACCTTTTCTTCAAATAGGTGTGTGAATAGCTCCTTCCCAACTTTAAAATGAGGCGTACTCTATATTTCTCTCAGTAATATACCTTTTCCCCAAAAACTGGTTTCAAGAATATGAAAGGAAAAGTCCCTCGAGACAGGTAATTTCTCTTCTTGAAGAAAAAAACGTCATAGAGAAGTAATTCCTGCTAAGGTATCCACACATCACACACTGTGCTCTACACATTCAAATAAGTTTTAATCTGTGGAACCAGTAGCAGCTGAGTTTTCCCCATGCTTAGATTTGAAGGCAGTAGTTTCTACTTGGGTTGCACATTAGAATCACTTGAAAAGCTTTCAGAATTATCGGTGCCTGGGTCCCAGTCCCAGAGATCCTCATTATTGGCCTGGACTTTACGATTCTCAACAGCTCCCCTGGTGATCCCAGTGTGCAGTTTAGGTTTAAACCTACTATTTTAAAGCCTCCCGTAGATCCTCGCCTCTCCTGTGTTGATCTTAGAGTCATTGGCATATAACAGACTATGATGGCACACTGGTGCTTGTTCTCTAACGGCGGACAAATGTGTTTTTGGTTATGTTTGTTTTTACATTTTCCAGTCACTTTGCCTTGCTCTATAGATTAATGTTCGTTGCTTAAATATAGCACTTCTCACGTATGTGTTGTCCTTTGAGGTCATTTGTATCTTAGGATGATTCATTTCACCACAAGTGCAACATTTATCATTTTTCATCACTTTGAATTTTTAAAATAGTCTATACTGTCACAATGCTCTCTTACACGTCTCATAATCGCTTTCAAAATTGCCTTTAGTTTTGTACTTAAAAGATGTGTTGTGGGGTTAATGATGTCAGTAAACACTTCAAAACCTAACACAGACACAACAAGCATGCTACTCGGCCAGTGGAGAACCACTACCGAACAGCAGCTCCGCAGAGATGAAAATAATCTTGCATGACCACTATCGCCATCTATCGGCAGCAGGCAGAGATGACTACCTTCTGTTTCTAAGCTTTTTATTTAGCCTAGTGATCAAGTACAAGGTATTAAAGGGTGAAACTTCCAGTATCATATGAGATATCACTCTCATTGTTAGAAAACAAATGCTGGTACAAATAGCCCATTCTAAGGGAAGTGGGATAAACTTAAGTAAAGTGAGAAAATGTAGATCAGTTGTCTCACTGAGTTTTTTGCATTAAGTAGATTTTTTTCTTTTTTCTTTTCTTTTTTTTTTTTTTTAAAGAAATCGGTGTCCTTGGGACCAGCAATTGGCGTAATGACTATGTCGTTGGACTCCCATGTAGTTGACAGCGGTTCGAGTCCCGGACCCGGTGGCTTAAACTTACGCTGGGCATGTGTGCTTGCGTGCCCAAGATCCTGAGAGGAGAATGGAGGAGAAGAGATTGTGGCATGAACATCTTTCCTGGGGGTGATTTCTCTCTCTCTCTCTGTCTCTCTTTGTCTGGCGAGTGCACTTGCCCTATACCAAAAACCTCTCAAAAAAAAAACAAAAGAAATAAATTGGTGTCCTTAGCAAATTCAGTTTTATTTTAGCAGTGGTATTTTGAGGGCACAATATTGCATTGAAATAATTCTGAAAGACACAAGAGCCATATTTGAAAATCATAAATAAGTACATAAGTGCAGTCATCCCAGGATATCTGCGGGAGATAGGTTTCAGGACTTCATACACACCCACACCCACCCACACAAACATCCCTGGGAGAAACCAAAATCCATGGATACCCTTATAGAAAATGCTGTAGCATTTGCACATAACCTCTGCATGTTGTCCCATATACCTTTTTAGAAGTCCATTTTATTTCTTTCATGAGTGAGAACATATTTGTTCACATGTGGAGTACACACATGTGTGCAGGAAAGGAAGGCAGAGAGAGGCCTTGACAGGGTCTTATCATGCTGCGATCCCCTTGCCCTATCTCCCTAGCCAATCAAGATCTTGGATGCATGTACTGGGCATGTTTCAGGCCCACCTGGGATCTGGACCTATGTGCTGCTCGGCACTGCAAATTAGCACGTTACTGCCTGTGCCGCCCAAGTTGGGCCTTGTCCCACCTTCCTGAAATCATCTCTAGATTACATACGATACCGAATACAATGTAAATGTCATAAATGGCTATATTGTGTGGTTTAAGGAATAATGATGAGAAAAATACATCTGTGCATGTTACATGTTCAGTACAGACACAGCCATCAAAGGCCTTACTATAATACACAGTACACTTCAGCAAGAAAATACCACTTTTTTTTTTTTTTTTTAAACTTAAGTAAAGTGAGAAAATGTAGATCAGTTGTCTCACTGAGTTTTTTGCATTAAGTAGATTTTTTTCTTTTTTCTTTTCTTTTTTTTTTTTTTTTTAAAGAAATCGGTGTCCTTGGGACCAGCAATTGGCGTAATGACTATGTCGTTGGACTCCCATGTAGTTGACAGCGGTTCGAGTCCCGGACCCGGTGGCTTAAACTTACGCTGGGCATGTGTGCTTGCGTGCCCAAGATCCTGAGAGGAGAATGGAGGAGAAGAGATTGTGGCATGAACATCTTTCCTGGGGGTGATTTCTCTCTCTCTCTCTGTCTCTCTTTGTCTGGCGAGTGCGCTTGCCCTATACCAAAAACCTCTCAAAAAAAAAACAAAAGAAATAAATTGGTGTCCTTAGCAAATTCAGTTTTATTTTAGCAGTGGTATTTTGAGGGCACAATATTGCATTGAAATAATTCTGAAAGACACAAGAGCCATATTTGAAAATCATAAATAAGTACATAAGTGCAGTCATCCCAGGATATCTGCGGGAGATAGGTTTCAGGACTTCATACACACCCACACCCACCCACACAAACATCCCTGGGAGAAACCAAAATCCATGGATACCCTTATAGAAAATGCTGTAGCATTTGCACATAACCTCTGCATGTTGTCCCATATACCTTTTTAGAAGTCCATTTTATTTCTTTCATGAGTGAGAACATATTTGTTCACATGTGGAGTACACACATGTGTGCAGGAAAGGAAGGCAGAGAGAGGCCTTGACAGGGTCTTATCATGCTGCGATCCCCTTGCCCTATCTCCCTAGCCAATCAAGATCTTGGATGCATGTACTGGGCATGTTTCAGGCCCACCTGGGATCTGGACCTATGTGCTGCTCGGCACTGCAAATTAGCACGTTACTGCCTGTGCCGCCCAAGTTGGGCCTTGTCCCACCTTCCTGAAATCATCTCTAGATTACATACGATACCGAATACAATGTAAATGTCATAAATGGCTATATTGTGTGGTTTAAGGAATAATGATGAGAAAAATACATCTGTGCATGTTACATGTTCAGTACAGACACAGCCATCAAAGGCCTTACTATAATACACAGTACACTTCAGCAAGAAAATACCACTTTTTTTTTTTTTTTTGGAGAGGTTTTTGCTATAGGGCACATGCGCTCACCAGACAGACAGACAGAGACAGAGAGATAGCAAGAAATCAACCCCCAGGGAGGATGGTCACACTGCAATCCCTTCTCCTCCATTCTCTCAGGATCTTGGGCACGCACGCACACGCGCGCAGCTTGAGTTTAAGCCACCGGGTCCAGGACGCGAAACGCGGTCGACTACATGGGAGTCCAGCGACATAGCCATTACACTAACTGCTAGTCCCAAGAAAATACCACTTTTGACCTGCAGTTGGTGAACTCTGCATAGATGGACCTCTTAGATATGGAGAGCACAACTGGTAAAAATGATTTGTGGTTTTTTTGTTTTGCACATGTGGGCTTTTGTGCAACTTATGTTATTTCCTCCAGTAGAAAAAGTTATGTGTGAACAGGTTGGTTGCTTCTCTCTGTACCTCTTACAAATCCACTATATCAGCATAAAAATATGGGGTAAGCTGCAGACCTTGTGGAGAGAATGGGCTTTTTGGTTCACTGCTATATCCTAGATGCTTTGAGAATGTTAACCATCTGCTAGGCACTTGGTGTTTTGCTTGCATTGCCTTATTTAATACTCTTAACTCTCTGGTGAGCTATGTAATGTTGTTCAACCTCTACCTTACAAATGGGGAAACTGAGACGCAATGAAGTTAAATAACATATGCAGAGTGACATAAGTAGTAAGTGGAGGCCTGGAGTTTAGCGGTGACTGCTTGTTCCAAAGGCCACATACTTGCTAGTCTCTCAGAACTGACAAACTAGTTAAAGAGTCATATACCTTCCTACTTTTTACGTTTCCCTCTGTTAGGTTGCATTGTGGGAGAGGCCATTTGACCCTTTATAATGAAGCAACACTGGAATCTAATTACAGAGGGCTATGTAATATGTCATTTCATAGCTATGACAGGCCATGAAATGGTGTATGCCCGGATGAAGTATAATTCCATAGAGGGCCCACCAGCTACTGCCTTCTAAAAGTCTGAGGGAGAATTGAAGCCATCAGGTGGATTCTTCCAGATCACTGAAATGAGAACCTCTCTGATCACTTTCCCTTTACCCCTCCTCCCATTGCTACCCAAACCAAAAAGCCCATCTCTACCTCACGCCAATAAAAAAGGAGGTAGGCAGTAATGTACACAATATTATAAAATAGCATTGATCATCTAACTGACTTTTACTGGAAGAGTAAAAAGTAAGCAGCAAGAGGAAAGAGAAGGAGGAAGAGAAGGGAGGAGGTCCTAGGAAGAGCAGCACTGGAGGCCTGATCAGAAGGGAATAGAGGCCTGAATGGA